GGGTACAGATCACGACAACCTGTCAATAGTGGTAATTACATCAACTGCCTTACAAGTGTCATTACTGATGCATGATCTGCTAGCGCTAATACCATGGTACAGACAGGAATCCTGACCCATTAGTCACCATTGACAAAAACTTATTGACGGGTCTCCACCGACAATGTTATGGGCTTTTGACATAAACCTGATCAAGGGTAGCCTGGCATCCGAGACAGGCTCGGGCTCGACTTTTCTGCCCAAACCCAGCCCGGAAGCCCAGAAAAAATTCTTTAAATGGCCAAATTTTATTTTTTCAAAAATTAATTTTGTATAGTGGTGAAGTTGGCTTTTCATGAGTGGTGACGTGTTCTTTTTTTTCTGTACTGGTGGTGTGTTCTTTACCAGTGCATATATACTTTTGTATTGCATTATTGATTTGTTGTCGACATATATTCCAATAGAACTTGGCTGTAAAATTCTAACCATGGATAGTGGAGACTACATGTCTCGGTATCCTAATTGACTCACATTTGTGATGCGGGTGTATCATAGTGTAAATATATTCAATATAAATTATGCCATGATCAATTGATAAATATATTTGGAATTGCTTGTCCAGCTAAAAATTTGATATATTCTAGTCCAGTAGCTTAGATGGTCCAATCCAAAATCCGTGTTTTTTTTAGGAATTATTCTTGTCAATGGTTTTTAGTTTATCCTGAATGGTCTCATTGATCCTTTTTAATTCTATATGCACACTAAGCTTAGCAAACAATCGTAGATGCTTTGATTTTCTTTTATTTTGTTTTTGAGTGGTTTCCATGCTATGCTAAAAATGAGGTTATAAGTTTACAATTCTAGATCCTTCCAACTACATATCATATATATAACTTTGTGTATCTAAATCTTTTGCAACTATTGTGATACATACTATTTTTTCAATAATTATTTATTTTTGTGCCCATCCAGCATGATCAATGTTTTATTTATATAGCCTGTAATTTTAAGTTTGCACATTTCCTAAAACTTATCATTAAGAATCAACATATCTTTAGAATATGTATTATTTATTGACCTTATAATTATTTTTCTCTACAAAACAAGAATAAGATTATAAATGTACACTTACGAGCTGTATAATTTTTGTATCATTGTTTCATATACTAAAATTATACCACTTTATTACCATCATATATTTGCACTCATATTAAGATTGTTTTATCTTGGTTAAGAAGAGCAAGATTTTTTATTTATCTTGATTAGTTTTTTCTTCTGTTTAGGTATATTTAGTATTATATTTTCATACTTACCAACTACATATGAATTTGATTGATGGGAGATTACAAAGTCATTGCCAAGCACATCATAGTTATTGATATGGGTTTATTAGTCCAAAAGGTCAACCTTGGCGAAGTTGGTTGACATTTTATTAAATCTAGTTTAGCTTTGTATGTTGATTAACAACTATTTGGCAGTGGCACATTTGTTTCTAAATTTGAGTATTATTTTTATGTCTCTAATGTGCAACTTATGCAGTTTTACAATTGATCATGTGCAACATATATTATAACTAATTTCATTTATAGTTGACCAAGGATCTGAGATCTTTAATATACTACTTGAGTTGTCTTCTCAAAAGGTAAATGTGGAAGAAAGAAAAGGTGCTTACCTGTGAGGAGACTAAAGCAACCACCGGGCATGTAGGGGTCGCCATGGGTTCCTTGTGGACACCGACACTGAAATGCACCATCCGTGTTGGTACATTGACCATAGCACCTATTGATTTGGAATTCTGCATGCTTGCACTCATCGATGTCTATACAGTGTACATATATTAAGCTAGTTAGTGTGAAGCCCATGTCCAAAATCTAAAGTCACGTACATAAATACCTCACATTTATTTGAGTATTTTTTTAATAATAATAATAAGTACACAAATGTCCCTGCAAATCTTATTTACTTTAGAATTATATTGATAGTACTTAACGTAAGAGACGTTTTGGAGGCCGAGCTACCTGCAGGACGAAATCTGTGCCGTGAAGTATAGGCATTGCGATGTGTGCTCGTTCGTTATCAGGTCGTATACGGTCGGTATTAGTTGCAATACAGCGGTGCCGTGGGCTGCGGTGCTGTCATTGTACATGGGCCTCTGGTATGCATCGTTGCATGCCCATTATGCACCTATTGGGCTGTTTTGAAACTCGCACATGTAGTAGCTGGCGGTAGGGTGGGTTTGGTGGGCCCATGTGGTGCTGCAGATAGCTTTATATTTTACTTCCACGCGGTGCTCGGATTTTTTCCGGCTGGTTAGACCACTCATACCCTTCTCGCGGTGGCTGGACGGGGCGAAGATTGGCCATGGATGGCCTGGAATTCTTCGAGGAAGCCAAATCAGGGTAAAATAATGCTAGATCTTGCACTTTATGTTGTTGTTCTAATGCTTGGAACCAGTTTGGTGTTTAGCAGA